TCGGGACATGCCCATGGCCTGCAAGTCCTCGTCGGCCACGAATTTAAGCTGACCAACATTTTGCACCTGCGAAGCGAAGAGGTTAGTGGGAATGGGAATGGGAATGCAAACCGGAAATGTAATCAAGAAACCAGCAGATTAAGCAGACGTCTGTAAGAATTTCCATCTACATCCATACAATCATACAAACACTCAAAGAAGGTATACATACCTAAACGCACACATACATACCCAAATAAATAAATAAATAAATACATACATACATACATACATACACACACACACGCACGCGCACGCACACACATATATGTGTCTACATATATACAAACAAACACAACACACACACACACCACACACACACACACACACACACACACACACACACACACACACACACACACACACACACACACACACACACACACACACACACACACACACACATATAAATATATATATATATATATATATATATATATATATATATATTTATATATATTATATATATATATATATATTATATATTATATATATATATATTATATATATATATATATATATATATATATATATATATAAATTTAGTATCTCAGTGGAGCGTACCTTGAGGTCATTCTTAAAATTATTGTAGTAGTGTTGCAGTTCGGCCTCCGTCAGGAACTCGTAGAGGCCGGGTCCTCTCGGAACGGTCGTCATCGCGGCGGCGGCGGCGGCAGCGCACTTGCGGGAAGGTTGCGGGGGCGCCGCTCGACGCAGCGGCGGCGCTCCTTACGGCGTGGCGGTGGTGGCGTGGTCCGGCAGGAGTTACCACCTTCTCCTTCTGCTACCTCATCACCATTTCACTGCTTCTGCAAGTACAAAGAATTCAGATTAATCTACAGCGAAAAATAGAGAAACAGATTAAAAAAGTACGAAAATGTACCCTTACATACAGGACTATTTCTCGTCCTTTCATTCTATGAATATGTATGTCTGCTCATTTGCAAGGGCGCCCATTCGTATCAAACGCACGTCCCTGTCGCCCCTCCCTTTTCACCCCTCCTTCCCCTTTCCCCTTCTCTCTTCTCAACCCTTCCTGCCCTCCCCACCCTTTTCCTCGCTCTCACTCCCTCCCCTTCCTCTCAATTCCACCCTTCCCCTCCACCCCACACGCTTATCCTCCCCACACGCCATAAAAATTCCCCTCTCCCCGTGCCCCGCATGCCCCCCCCCTCCCCGCCCTGCCCCGCCCTCGCCGTCATTCCGCAAAGTGGCAGTGATGATCTTACGACAAGTGACGCTGTTCATTTCCCTAAAAGCGCCCAAGGCCCGCCGCCCGACCCTTCGGTGACGGGCCGCGCGGGCGCCTTTCGACAGCGGTTCAGCTGCCGCAGATTTATCCGCCTCGTGCGCCCACTCAACCTAATATGCCGCCATAATGTGTGTGTGTGTGTGTGTGTGTGTGTGTGTGTGTGTGTGTGTGTGTGTGTGTGTGTGTGTTGTGTGTGTGTGTGTGTGTGTGTGTGTGTGTGTGTGTGTGTGTGTGTGTGTGTGTGTGGTGTGCGTGTGCGTGTGCGTGTGCGTGTGCGTGTGCGTGTGCGTGTGCGTGCGTGTGCGTGTGTGTGCGCGCGCGTGTGCGCGCGGGCGCGGTGAATTCATACAAGAAGGATGATATATGTAAAAATAAAAAGGAAAAAAGGAAAAAAAGAAAGAAGCACGAAAAAGAAGCGAAGGGCGTCCAGAGGCTCATGTCCGAGGGTCCCGTTACTCGCGGCCGTGTCGCCCTCGGCCCCGCTCGCGCGCCGTCGGGGCCGGCCGGCCTGGCCCATGCGCGGGAGACGGAGGCTCTTCGTAAGTAACTTATATTGTGGGGCTATATAAGTAATATAAAAGTGTGCACGGACGTTATTTACGTCAACTGGATGATTGCAAATCGTCATATTTCTATCTTTTCCATTTTAAACTTTTATAAGGGCATACATATATCTACATACACGAGTATAGCAAGTTGAAAATCATAATCGCTCCATTAAAATATGCACAACCATCCACAAATAGGCTTTATTAGTACAAATAACCTAATTTCTCCCAGAAAATCCACGTAAAAATGCAACGAAGCTCGCAAACAATCATTTTTTTCCTCTTCTAAAAGATTGCCACTTGAAACCTCTAGCATGAAAGGTTAGTACGCCCGATGCACCTCTTTTGCATAACTTGGAAAAAATGTAAACAATTCACCGTAAAGCTATGGATACCTAAAGACACGTATGATTTTTTGAAAAGGATATACACACAAGGATTTCGAAGTATTTACATTTGGAAATATACACACTGGGTTACATGTACGCTAACACACACAAACACATATAAATGCACCCGTAAACCACCTAAAAATACAAAAAGAGAGAGAGAGAGAAAGAGAGAGAGAGAGAAAGAGAGAGAGAGAAAGAGGGAGAGAGAGAGAGAGAGAGAGAGAGAGAGAGAGAGAGAGAGAGAGAGAGAGAGAGAGAGAGAGAGAGAGAGAGAGAGAGAGAGAGAGAGAGAGAGAGAGAGAGAGAGAGAGAGGAGAGGAGAGGAGAGGAGAGGAGAGAGAGGAGAGAGAGAGAGAGAGAGAGAGAATGTTTCCGCGGCGGGCGCTGCGGTCCTAGCCAGCAGGTCTCCAGCAGGTGACCTGAACACGTTCTGTTTTCCCAGGCAATTATCCGGCTGCGTCCAGCATCCAGGGCGAGTCAGCTTCTTCTTCTATTTCTTTCTTCTTCTTCTTCTTCTTCTTCTTCTTCTTCTTCTTCTTCTTCTTCTTCTTCTTCTTCTTCTTCTTCTTCTTCTTCTTCTTCTTCTTCTTCGCCGCACGCAGCCGCGACTGACCGGGTTCTGCATCTTTTCCAAGCGCAGAAAATTCACAGAGATATCTTAACTTAGGACCAACATCTTTGGAAACCCGAACGCAAAACATAAATAAATAAATAAATAAGTAAAAACAAGTAAAATGGTTTCCAGGCCGTCAACAAGCAAAACCATGTTTGAGAACGGGCGTAAACAAGATAAATATCTCTGGACTGAAGAAGACATAATATCCCAAGAGGGGGTCGCCATCACCTACTCCCTCCTCCCCACCTCTCTTCCCTTCCCTCTACATTCTTCCTCCATCCCCCCTCTCCTCCCTCCTCCTCCTCCTCCTAGTTCTTCTTCCTCTTCTTCTTCTTCTTCTTCTTCTTCTTCTCTTCTTCTTCTTCTTCTTCTTCTTCTTCTTCTTCTTCTTCTTCTTCTTCTTCTTTTCTCTCCTTCTTCTTCTCCTCCTCCTTTCCTCTCCTTTCCTCTCCTCCTCTCCTCTCCTCTCCTCTCCTCTCCTCTCCTCTCTCTCCTCTCCTCTCCTCTCCTCTCCTCTCTTCCTCTCCTCTCTCATCTCATCTCATCTCTCTCATCTCATCTCATCTCATCTCATCTCATCTCATCTCATCTCATCTCATCTCTCTCATCTCATCTCCTCTCCTCTCCTCTCCTCTCCTCTCCTCTCCTCTCCTCTCCTCTCTCTTCCTCTCTCTCTCTCTCCTTCCTCTCTCTAATCTTCATCTCATCTCATCTCATCTCATCTCATCTCTTCCTTTCCTCTCCTTTCCTCCCATCTCCCTGTCTCCCTCCATCAATTTTGTGCGTTTGTGTAATCTACGTTTTACACATATGTGTATAATAGTACATGAAATATATAGGTGGTGCATAAAATCGATAAATGAATTGAACTGAAAAAAAATCTCTCTCCCTTATCTCTCTCTCTCTCTCTCTCTCTCTCTCTCTCTCTCTCTCTCTCTCTCTCTCTCTCTCTCTCTCTCTCTCTCTCTCTCTCTCTCTCTATATATATTATATATATATATATATATATATATATATGATGTATGTATGTATTATATATATATATATATATATATATATATATAATATATATATATACATATATAATATACATATATACATATATACATATCTATCTATCTCTCTCTCTATATATATATACACATTTATAGATAGATAGATAGATAGATAGATAGTCAGATATAGATAGACAGATAGATAAAATAAAAAAAGATAGATAGATAGATTGATAGATAGACAGACATAAACAAAGGCGGCGACACAGGACACCAGATCGCCAGGCGGAGTCCTCACGGGCAAGACTATGCAAGTACTCCTATAGACTTTGACAAGGGAGGGGTGGACAAGGGGTGGGTGGGTGGGGGTCATTAAAGGATGCCTGTTATGGGTGATTTATTTGCGTATACGTTTCCTTTTCTCTTTCCTTTTCTTCCATCTCTCTCCTCCCTCTTTATTGCCCCTCTGTGTGTCAACTTTTTGTCTGTCTGTCCGATTGTCTATTAATTTTTGTCTACCCGATTGCCTGTCTGTCCGACTGTCTGTTTGCCTGTCTGATCAATATGCCTGTCTACCTCTTTCTTTCTTCTATCTTACTTTCTTTTCTCTCTTTCACAAGTGTATAGGATGCGGGCAGCTGGATTTCGTCCAGTACCTCCACCTCCGCCCCACTCCCCTCCCAATCACGGTGCACCCCCCCCCCCCCGGCTCGCATCCTCCTCACTTCCCTTGCCAGCATTCCGCCTCTTGAGAGAGAGAGAGGGAGAGGAGAGGGAGAGGGTGAGGGAGAGGGAGAGAGAGAGGAGAGTGGAGAGGGGAGAGGATGAGAGGGAGATAAGGAGAAGGAAAAGGAAAAGGAAAGAAGGAGGGAGAGGGAGAGGGAGAGGGAGAGAGAGGGAGGGAGGGAGAGGAGAGAGAGGGAGGGAGGAGAGGGAAGAGAGAGGGAGGAGAGGGGGGGAGATGAGGGGAAGAGAAGGGGAGACGAGAGGGGAAGAGAAAGAGGAGAGAGAGAGGGAGAGAGAGAGGGAGAGAGAGAGGGAGGGAGAGCAGACGAGAGAGAGAGAGAGAGGATAGAGAGAGAGAGAGAAGAGAGAGAGAGAGAGAGAAGAGAGAGAGAGGAGAGAAGGGGAGAGAGAGAGAGAGAGAGGAGAGAGCGG